CCCCCCCCCCCCCCACAAGGATTTTTATGTTTCATTCAACTTCGATTTCATTTCAATGGGAACGTCTAGTCTCTGGCAGACAGGCTGATTGGTCTGACATGCATGAGGATTGCGACTGCCTGACCTGGCAACCAGGCGGGAAGGGGGCTCGTAATTCACGCAGGCAGACTTCAGGTTTGTTTGACGTGTTTCCCTTTCGATGTATATATTAGTCTTCGTCTATTCTTTCCTCTATGCAGGCAGGGGTAAGCAGCCATAAACCCCATGCGCAACCATCTCTTATGGACGTATGGGCTTTATTCTCCAAATCCATGGATTTGAAGGCCAGCATATATGGGTGTACACTGTACAGTTAGCTGTGCCCCATATATATCTGCTAACGAATTTAACTCAGTCTCATGTTGTTGTATGATTAATTTACGTCATAGCAGAGATGAGGAAACATGTCGGAAGGGCGGGCACAATCTGCGGCAGGCACACAGATTGAACATGCCAAAGCAAACATGTCGACTCAGACAATGAAAATGTCCATTCTGGTTCCTGGGGGGACGGGGCATGGTAGGAAGGGCGGGGCGTGGGGGGGTAGGCGATGGAGAAAACACTCTTTTTCGGAAGTTTTTTCCTTTTCGTTTTCTTTTTTAAATCCATGTGTGGCAGATGTGCCATCCTTGGACCAGACACAGACACGAACACGCCGACTTCCATCTTCACCCGAATAGAACGCCCTGTCTTTATCGCCGCATCTGGACCAAAAGTTGTGTCAAACGCAGGCTATAATGTCCGGGCGTTCTATTCGGGTGAAGACGGTAGGCACACAGCAGTGCTTCTATGATTTAGCCGCTGCTATAGCCAATGTATGCGAGCGCTTTTCACATTGTGAGTAGTACCTTCATAAACGGAAGTTCTTTTCTGGTTTGATTACTTCTTTCAGCTATCCTTTTGTTGCCCAATGGGGATGCAGATCCACTGGCGAACCGGGGGGTCCTGTTCCGTGGCGAGGAGAGATCAGCTATGGGGGACATTGGTTAGGTCGGTATTGTCTCTGTTTTACAATGTCCTGGTACAGGGAGGGCTAGAAGTTGCTCTAGGATGAGGAGACCAGAACTGTTGATATAGCATAGCTTATCACAATTAATACAATTTTTTATCACCATTAGCATCATCATCAGTAGTATCATCATCATCATCAGGATCATCATTATCATAGTCACCACATGAGGGACGCTGAGCCTGGTTCTCGGTAAGTTCGGTTTTGTTTCTCCGGGCAGACTGTGAGGACCCTGGCCTCATTCCGCTTATTGGTAATATCAGCCTTGGGCACTGGGCCCGTTATTGAAAAAAAAAAAAAAAAAAAAAAAAAGCGTTAGCACTACGGAAACTGGAATAGGAATTCAGGTACAGCTTGCATCACGATCCACAGCCAAGCGAACAGAGGCGAAAAGCAGGAAAGCGGTTGCATTACCATCACAGTATGGACCGCAACTAGAACTGAACCTAACACTTTATGTATGAGTGCGGGTGCGGTGTGATGGGTTGTCATAGCACCGCACATTTGATTTGAGCCCGTTTGGTGGAATTTCATCTGAGAATGATCTTGGACGGTTTTTGGTAGACAGAGAAACAAACCTTCTAAAGGCAATGCGACTGATGTTGCAATCTCCCATCAAGGAAGAGAACATACCATCTTTTGGAACCTGTCTCCCCATTTGTAGTAGTACATGAACAGTAGTGGTTTATCATATTACATGCGGAGTAGTGGTCTATCAGGTTTTACTGTCCTGGTAGGCAGGCCTCTCTCTCTCTCTCTCTCTCTCTCTCTCTCTCTCTCTCTCTCTCTCTCTCTCTCTCTCTCTCTCTCT